CTGTTGGGAAAGCTTTATGTTTGAACCTTTTTTGTATGATAATACTGAGTCTTTTTCTTTTTGTTATGCCTGCGTTACCGCAATTGCGAAAGAATTTTCTTATTTTAACTGTCAGATGAGTAAGTAATTTCATAGATGTTAATAAAATAAACGGCAATATGAGAATGATTTATTTTTATCGGGGTGGCGGTATTAACACTCAAACAAAAATTTTTTTTTCGACGTAGCTTAAGCTGGGTAAAAAGGATACAGACGAACGATTCCTGTGCTTTTTTTAAGTTCCCGTTACATTGTAAATTTATTACATCTTTAAAAAACATGTTTTTGTCTCATCTCTGAATGCAATCTCAGTGTGCATCCCACTCAAGCTCAACGCTAAGTGGACGAGTCGACGGTGACGTCACGCCGCAATCAATAGCGATTCCCACACGACATTGGCGAAACTACTTTCACATACACTTTTTTATTTATTGAGAAGGCATAAGATTGTCCCCTACTACCGAAAGTCGTAAAAAGGCTGTAAACTTTCGTTTTAAGGCTTATTTCATTGTACATTATTATGTAATTACGCATGACAACGCGAATTCATTGATTCAAAACTGATATATAAGACAACAAAACGTTCAAGGCTGTATAAAATTATTTCATTGCTGCAAATAATCATGGCCGAAAATAAACACCCGAAGCCGCGACAAAAATTTGAAAAATTCGAAAAAAAAAAGAAGCGCGCCTTGGAATGCACGTGACCTACCAAGAGAATTCGTAACAATACATTAATGATAGGTACAGACTAACAGCACATAAAACTATACAATTTCGTTGTAATATAGAACTTATTGCAACGACATAAAAAGCTAGTAATTACGTTGATATGCCCTCGTTTGTACGTATCAAGTCTAGGTCAACATGGACTCGTGTCACAATAGTTGAACTTAACAAAAGAGGTGATATAATTATGTGAACATTCACAGGGAATTAAATGGGTGTCGTTTAACTTTTACAAGGCACAAAATATTTTGGAATGATTTTAAAATAGGTACAGAATGTAGTGTTTGGTCAGTTAGTCAGTTACTCATAATTGATGAGATATTTGAAACAATTAATTCATAACAACGGAACGGAATGGTACCCTAGAGAAATCAAAAGAAATAGAGAAAGTCAGTCAAAGCGATGGAAGACGATTTGAAGCAAGTAGCTGGGCCAGCAAAGGACAGAAACAAGGAAATCCTTAGAGGAGGCTTTTATCGGAAGACAAGCTGTCAAGAGGAGAGATTTTAGTATAAGTGAATTTATTGGTAGTTTTTTCTAACCTCTATTGCTATAATTTTTCTTTTTCTCTAGGTAATGTATAAGTCACACAAGTTAAAATGTAATAGCATTATAAGACTTATTTTATAAATTTTAAAATAACAGAAAGTAAATAATACTAAAGTGGGATGAGTGTGAGTTTACATCAAACGCGCTCACTAGAAATTTTAGTTTTTGAACGTTTCCCGCTAGGGGCGCTGTACAATCCGTCATACATTAAATGTCATTTTTGACGCGCTTCGACACGACAGTGAGGGCGTTTGATGAAAACTCACACTCAGCCCTCAGGACATCAAACTAAGTACGGTGACTTCTTTAACATTATGATAGAGGCTATTTTACAGCAAAACTGTATAATCCGATTGCTGTCAACTATGCACATATGTACAGTCCATTAAGACAAACTTAATATGTGGAATAAACCTAAAGGTGAGCGCGGTTTACGTCCCAAGTTTGATAACATAAGTTCTAACATGCACACCATATAAATAGGAGCACTCCAAAGCCAAACTTTAGTAATAAAAGGCTCTTAAAATCTCCAACAGTTTAAATTGCTAAACTCCGAGGCAGATGTCAAGAAATAAAGTTTCAGAAACTACAGTCTGAGGTACAAAAAACAAAATGTCCGCAAAGCGGGACTCACCGTGTTGGTATGGCAAAAAGAAAAAGATAAGAAGAGAGAATCTGAAGTATGCAAGCAATGTGATACTGAGTCATTCCTATAAATTCCCGTCTATAGTGTAAATAAATTAAATCTTTATTTGAAAGGAACAATACAATTAAATTGATTAAATTAGTTAGTTAGTTAAAATTATCAAATTTTAGATAAAAGTTATTTACAAAAACATGCGTTATCCTCTGCTTTCCTAATTTTGATTGGGTTTTTCTATCTATGAAATTGAAAACTGTTACTGCTGCACTAATTAACTTAGCAATCGTCGAGTTATTTGTGAATTTCAGCTTTACTTTTAATCCCACATTACGCCAGCTTTATTTAGGTAGGAGAACTTCACGTGGTGCATTTATCGAATGGAATGATAATAGCGATTTTTAAATGGTAAGCGATTTAATACTATCGATAAAGCTTATTAGAAACCAAGAGTTTAAAAGACCACTGACATCTACTCAGTACTAGTACTTTCTCCAAGTCTAGATTCTTGAGCACCTACGCATCCGTCTCGCTCTTGCATCGATAAATCAACAAACGCGCGAAAGTGACATGCATATCGGCATGCATGACAAGTCATGCAGAACCGGAGACCGATACAACGCGGTTATTTTCGGCCCACGGTGAAAGTGCAGTGTGCCATTGCTTCGGGGTTATTTCGAAAAACGTTATCCGAAGTTTCGAATGCTGTTATCCCTCTCGTGCAATGTATGGGCGACAGTGACAGATAGACCCGAAACTACGTGAACAGCGTTTCGGAGTAGTTCTTCTGGTACCACGATACTGCGTGTATCGGTTTTGTAATATTTGATTGCGTGCCGCACCTAGTGGCGGGAACCGCAGAATGCTTGAGATTGGGTATCTAGGCCGCGTTGTTAATAAAAAACCGGACGATTGCGTCCGATTTGCGAACTAATGGTTCTGTATCCTATCCTTCTCCTGAATCCTCCATCATCAGCTTCGTCATCCATTTACGTCATCTTTTCCTCTTACTTACTCTCAATTGACACAATTATGTCAGATTTAAAAATATTAACTTTGCAGTTAAAAACTGACTTACAGTTCGTAACAGAAAAAAAATTCCTTTTTTTTTCGATATTCCAGTCTTGGTTCCAATAATTATCTTAGCCTAAACAGCCGAAAAACAGGCAAATGAACTGATTGGCAGGACTTTCAAGGTACGGAACCCTAAAAATGTGTGTGGATTAAATAAAATATTTTTTACTTCATTCCGATTGACAACACACACGTGCGAATGAGTTAAAAAAAGTTGACACTTGAACAGCTGTCAATAATTAACTACGTAATAATATGCTGTAATTAAAAAATGCACTACGGAAGTTAAGAAAATAATGATACGATTGATTAAGTTAGACAGTATAAATAATTGTTATACAATTCATTATACCGGCATCGTTCATTTATACTGTTTTCTATACTCCGGAAATGATTGACTGCCTGCAGGCAGTGCAATTTCTCATATTTATAAACATCGCATGAAGGATGTAAACACAAAACACTAAGAGGATCCTATGTATTTTGCAGCACTGGCCCATTTGTTGTCCCGAAGCAGTGGTAAGGTTAATACTGGGACGTGTAAAAGAACTTTTAAAACCTACTTGCAAAATAAATGATTTTGAATTTGAATTTGTGATGCAAAGAACTTTTTTGTGTCTTTTTTTTTTCACTTTTCAATCAAGGTAGGTACAATATATGTACCTATCTGTTGTTTGTTGTCTATACTGTTTCTGTTCTATGTATGTGTTGCATTATAGTTCTCATTTCTAATACTCAGGAATTTCGGGAATGTAATCCATCTGGTTTTTAACCAAGACGAATGGCCCCAATACTGGATAGTCTAATTCTACATTACATCAGCCAAATCCTTGATAGTGATCTTTGATTCCACGGAAGCGACAAACAAAAACAAAATTGCGTACATCCACAATTATCTCAATTAAAACACAAAAACTAAACAGACATGCATACATTAGTTACTTTACGTCTATCATATCCTTAATAAAGCATATAATGAGCAAATATGCTCAAGGCAGCCTTATCAAATGCAAAATGGTTTCACTATGCGATTCCGATTGCGATATGCTAACATACCAACAACTATTTAATGATATACCTACATTACAGTCTCAACTCATAGAGATCAAGGTCGAAGGGAAGCAGGTTATCCACCTCCAAAATTTATGTAACTACTTCAAGGAAAATATACTCGGTACATCCAAAGTTTTCATAGCAAGACCAAGTTAGATATAGAAAAAAATGCAAGTCCGAAACAAGTTTTACGTCCTTGAATTAAAGCACGGATTCGTCCGGCATACGCTCGATATTCGCAGCTCGTTTACATCTCTTTGTCATCTAATCTAAATATATAAAAGGAGAAACTGACTGACTGACTGACAGATCAACGCACAGCCTAAACGGCTAAACGTAGGCACTTGAAATTTGGAAGGGACGTAGCTTAGGTACCGTAGAGGTGCACTAAGAAAGAAATTCCCGAAATTCCCACGGGAACGGGAATTAGCGGGAAAAACGGGATTCACGCGTACGAAGTCGCGGGCGGCCGCTAGTATTAGCATACAGCTTCAAAATTTTATGTAGCAAAGCACTTACGTACTAGAACATTTGCGTCCAGTTCCCTAATGGGTCCAGCGTGTTTTATTTAGTCCGAGCTCGCTCTCGTCACTTTTTGCGCTTTTTACGAACAAAGAATCTAGCGCTCAACACCGAACAGCCGTACAACTCGTTTGTTTGAGATAACAAGAGAAATCCTTCGCTCAGCCGAGATAGTGCACGTTTGGGACATAAATCGACGATACAATTGAACGATGATTGTAATCCGGGAACACACCAACTTCGCCGGCGTTTGCGCCGCGATCCCCTTATCGCAGCAACAATACCCTCGCGGAGATTCGCGAGTGAAATGTGCACTAAAAATTTGGGTCAAGTCAAAACAAATAAACAAAACAATTGGTGCCGGTGCGATTGAAAAACAAAACACAACACTAACAAAGATCTCCGAGGTCAACGCTTCCATCGTAACAACAACACGTTCACTGCATTTCGAAACGCGAATTTGTCGCGAGCGCGATCGTATCGCCGCGAAAAACACGCGTGCGCGCGCCGCTTTTCACAATGCCACTGTTTCCCGTGCGCGGGCGGCGGCCGGGCCGTCACGGCCGCTGGTCGAAATGACAATAATCGCCGGACAGCGAACAATGAACCGTAGTAAGATGAAGCGAAAATTTACATAACACCGCCCGCGATCTGTCCACTATGTCACTAAGTTACGTTTTTATGTGTCTCAAGCACGTTTTATATCACTGATTGATTTAAGTATTTATGAACAGTATTTTCTGCACAATTTTAGATTTTAGTCAGGAACAGCCTTCCAAATAAAACTAAGACCTACTTAATCAAGTCACGAACGAACCTTGTTTAAGCAAAACATGAACCGACTCAGGTTATGTTGCAAACATTTTAATTACTTTAACCAATTAACTGTGTACTAAACGATATTTCAAAATAAATTTTCTTCGTGCCGGATGGAATCTTTGATCTAGTACGGGATAACATAAAGACCTCGGACACGAAAATACATGAATATATAAAATAAATTACGGAAACATAAAAAATCTAGGTGATCAGTGACGTGCATTGTTTCGAGGCAGACTGTTAGGTCTTAGTTTGACAGTTAAAAACATAAATAATTAATAATGTTGATATCTACAACTACAAGTAGGTAGCTCAGCTATTGACATGTCTGAACCTGAAGCATTTGGAAAAGAATTGCAACCCCGTGGGATGCAAGCAACTTTCATGCAAGACAAGTATTTCAACCAATTTTAACTCTGTACCATAAACGCCATATTTTAGTAGGTATAGCATTTTCAAATTAGAATAATCTCGAGGAAAAGGATCTGCGTCTACCATCAATTTCACTTGATGCTAAATGACCTCATTAACATGATCGTGTAAAAGGTGGGACGTTAACTAAGCTGGTGTTTTAAACCGATTTTAGGAAAAAAAAACTTTTCCCACCTCTCGTTCCCACCGCTGCTGCAACTCCTGTATAGCCAAGATCTACAGCTTAACCACCCATAAAACCCAACCAATGAAGGTCAAGTTTGTCCTGGGAGAAAGTTTAGCAGTCATTGAACCCACAATCAAAATAAAGAATCTTTTTGGAGACAGTAACTGCTGAAGTAATCGAAAGAGATATTATTTAAGGAGACATGGTAACTCCTGAGCACCAAACTCCAGAGTATGACCTCAAATTGGCGCAGGCGTCGCATGACGTCACAGGAGCGGCCGTTGCCCGCTCATACATTAATAACGTGTCGTTCCTAAATTAAGATCTATTTACTTTACTGGGGCGTGAGATGAATTCACAGCGCTGAGAATTGTGTTGTCCTTGTCGGTACTTAATTAATGTAAAACTCAATGCGTTTAAAGGCTTTTTAAAATTGTGGATATACTTCGGTATTTAATCAACGCAGTGATTGGTTACAAAACTAAATTTAATTTCTCTCAACTTATTTGAAAAAGTCCATCTAACTCACAAGAGTAAAACATAATCTTCTTCATCTTATAGATAAAAATGAATTGCTGTTTATTAGTCTCGCTAAAACTCGAGAACGGCCGCGATGATGTGGCTAATTTTTGTCTTAAAATATTTGTGAAAGTTCAGGGAAGGTTTAAATTGGTTGGTCGGTTCCTAAAGTGGGGGGTGCGCCCCTCAGGGGAGGCGCAAAGACCTTTAAAGGGGGGCGGGGGCCATCTGTATACTTTAGTATAAAAAAACCTGCGACCGCTTAGAGAATGCATTCCAGAATGCTCGATACGACTAATAAAATAATATTGACCGGAGGAGGGGGGCGCGTTGTTAATAAGTTTGGGAACCAATGTACTTTAAATGGTGACAAAACACAGTTTTTATGAAAGAAAAATATGGCGGTACGAAGTGAAGTACAGCTAGTATCCATTGAAGTAATATTACTACGTATAGAACAGACATCGCGAACAAAATATGTACAGTGCGGGGTGCGGGGCGGGAATTTGACGGACAGCTGTCAGTCAAATCCATGACTATCAAGTTTCATAATTTATGGCGATAAAATCTGCACCAGAAAATGTCGTACTTCATTGATAGGATTGCACGAATAGTGACGTTCCTGCGGTCGCCTCATCATAGACATTGTGAATCGATTGTGAAAATAAAGAAATCGACTAAATTGTGTTAAATTTTCATGGTGCTCAATAGCAAAAAGGTTCAGCTACTTACATTATTTTCTTTTATTATATTGTGCGTTTCCTGTAATGTATTCTAAGCTCCCCTCCCTTAGACTAAAATTAGCCCTCCTAGACAAGTGACAAAACATAGCAGTTGAAACATTCGAAATCACTTCGCTCTGCCGTTTTTTGGTGTTAGTTACTTCACTCTGTGATGCGATTTAAAAATTACAACTGGCGATTCCGAATTCACAACTGAGGGGACTGAGGCTAATCGTGTTACTTGTGCTACAAGTGCGTATGGGCTTCATACTGATGCTTAAGCCATTAATTATTTTTCTTCCCGATTAAAATCTAATGTAATCGATAATCGCCTTGAGAATCGTTAACTGGTATTTTCTAATTCGATAAAAAAATTACCCATCTCTAGTTTAAAACTGTCATCCAACAGCGCACGAAATATTATGAGTTATAGATAATGATACCATTACAGAGGCGACACTTCGTTTACGTTTAGTTTCTGCCTATTGAATTGGATACTGTAAGGAAACATCGTCATCATCATTTTAGCTACTGGACGTCCACTGCTGAACAAAGGCCTCCTCTAATGATTTCCACATCGCCCAGTTGATAGTGGCCTGCACCCAGCGTCTTCCTGCTATCTTCAGTCAGTCCATCTTGAGATTTTAGAAAAATTCCCACTCGTCACGGTAGGAACAAAGCTAGGGATGACCCACGCCTTCATTCCAGAACCAATAAAATAACTGAAAGTCAGAAACTTTCAGTTATTTTATTGTCTCTATTGTTAACTATCTCAGTGGTTGAGTACACGTATAATAGCTGTGAGGTAGAAGTTACGGGACTATTCCCACCTCTCCTTTTCACCGCTGCATCTCCTGTGTAGCTAGCACCTAGACTAGTTGATTTAAAGCCAAGGTATATCAGTTTTTAGGTAATGACTTAGTGCATCTAAAAATGTAAAACTTTCTAGTTTTTTGTAACATTGAAAAATCTAAAAAGAAGCATCATTTTTTTTACCAAGTGTTTCTAAGAAATTTAAATGGAAGCTTTTGATGACAACGTATTGCTTACTTTTTCAGCTGTCGAACGAATCACTTTTATACTCATAGGTCCTGTACATCGGTAGATTTGGTAAATAAATGAATCCATCCGGACTCAGAAACTAAAAAAATTAAAATAGCTGTAATTTTTTAATACTGGATTTGTCGATTAAATTGATCATATTACTGCGCCCTAACGGGTCGGACACTGGTGACCAGACACACTGTACAATTATTATAATTTTAGCCTATCTCGTGAGCTAGGTGTCAATAATTAGGGTGATTTACTAACTAACCAGTCGCATACGAACAACAGCAGTGAGATTCAAACAAGTTTGATCCATGATGCCGCACGACTATTGTGTGAGCCCACCCGTAACCCAAGCTTATTTAGCTTAACACAAGGGGCTGGACGGGACTATTAGTAATTTGTGCAATACAAAGTGCTTATAATCTTTAAAAAAATCTTTTTATTGCTGTATTTAACCTTCCTTTCGTATTCTAATTTATGCGTCAGTGTCAAGTCTGCGATTTTTATTCTTTGAAATTTTCGTAAAATGGCTGCCGCCGCGGTGACGCCTTGTAATTAACAAATTAAAATTAAATTAATGTTTTAAAGTGCATAAATGTACAACTTAATGGTAAAAAGTCATTCCTTGATTTTTACTTAATATGTATCTGGAGTTATTAGTCTATAGGATGGCATATTTCAAAAAACAAAACTGCACCCAAGCGTGTTGTCACAGCAACCGCTGAGCACATACTAATTGAATTTCGGTCCATGGACCTGTTTGCGTGCCAGAAACAGTCTAGTTGACATGTCTTCTCTAGTACGTAGTACATTATAACTCAATGCTAGTATCCCATAAAAGGATTCATACCGTAATTTAGTCACTACTTATGTTTTATTATCAACCTACATCGTCGTAATAGATTTGCTATTTTAAAATAATTATGAGAAAACTAGCTGACTTGGCGAACTTCGCTTATTTTCATCAGAATTGATGTAGGATTTTAATGGTGAAATATTTTTTTTTAAATCGTTTTTAATTTTTTAACCTATTCAATACGGTCTACAGCACAACAGATTTTTCATTTTCTCTATTATAACTTAATAAGATACCATAATATTATTAAGCTACTTAGACCTTATTAATGACCACAATACGTGAGCCAGTACTGAAAATAGCGCAAGAAACTCAGTCACTTCTGTCACCAGGAATGAAACTGGGTAGAATTTACCTTTAAATAATAAACTTGCCTTCTGATCTTCTTAACCTAGTAACAACCAATCACTACACCCAAAATAACCGTCGTTAACCATCAAGTGAGAGACGACCTTTCCAACTAAACGCTACCTGCACTAATTGTTCTACTCCGTTACAATTTGGCACACCCGTCGTCGCTGCCCAATAGGGTTGCTCTCTATTTCATGTACAGTATAAATTGTAATAAGATATTTGCAATCAAGTCTTGGGCCTCTAAAAAGATCTTTAATTTGAATTTATGAATCATCATTATTCTCATCTCAGCCATAGGACGTCCACTGCTGAACATAGGCCTCCCCCGATGCTTTCCATGTTGCCCGGTTGGTAGCGGCCTGCGAATTTATGAATAGGCAAGTCTAATTAGTAAACATACAACCTACTTCACACAAGTTGAAAATCAGGTTCAAAAAAGACATAAGTTAACTCTACATTCTACTCGTAAAAGTAGTAATGAGAAAGAACCAGATCTTTGTTTATCTTAAGGTATCTTTTACTAAATAAATACTTTAATATTTCAACAAAAGGTACCGACCCTACGTACCAAGTACTAGGGTTACCACACCACACATAGTTTTACCTTTTTTGGACGAAAATTTGCATTTAGGTCGCGAAGTG